CGACGGCCAGCTACCACGCCGCGCGCGCAGGCGCACTGGCGGCGCCCCATTCGCCCCGCCCCTTTTCCCGGAAGCGGGAGATTGAAGCGCTGAGGCCGGTGAGTTGTTGGCGTCTAGGGGCAGTGGGTTCCCCCACGGCTTGGCGATGCTGGGGGAGAGGGTCCCTTAGGACTGTCTCCTTCCTGGACCCCTGTCCCCAGTGCTGAGGAGCTGGCAGGCCTCGTTAGGGCTGAGGGCCCCCCGTCGCCCCGCGGCCTGGGACGGCCTGGGAGCAGCCCCTGCGGCGGGCTGTAATTGTGCTGCGGGTCTCTTGTCCCTGCAGGGTGCATGGTCTCAGAAGGAGCTCCTCGGATCTGTGCCTCTGCTTCGGGGCTGCCCAGCCTTCTTTTCTGCTTCTCTGTAGGGTGGAAAAGCAGCTAGGGGAAAATTGTTGTTCAGCGGTCGTAGAGCCTTTGGCTGGTGAGAGGAGAACGCGAAAGGTGCGAGTGCTGTTACATAGTGTAGCTACAGGCAGGAAGACAGAGGTAGGTACCATCAGGGACTTACCCAAGTGCAAAATCAAGTAAGTACTCAAGTGCAAAATCGTATTTTTCCCTTCTAGACCAAGTTTTCCATGCTGGATATTTATTTTTCTGTGTGATAAATAGCATCACTGCTTGAAAATGTGAAGGATTCTAAGGCTGAGATCTTGGGGAAAGATTTTAAGAGCACAGGAGATGTGTGTGAACAGAGTTAAGTAACAGCATTAGTGAACCGTTGGAAAAGGTATTCATTGTAGTCATGGTTGTTTGAAGACAATCTGCATTAGAGGGTAAAGGCAGAGAGTCACAGGATTTGTTGTACAACAGTTGAACAAGACTGTTGAAGTCTCTTAGGCTTGAAATTGCTTTGCTGCTAAAATAGCTAATTAACTGGACTTCACAAAAAAAATTTTTTTTTTAATAGAATATTGTATGGTGAATTTTGAACAACGGTGGGAAGGTTGATTTGCAAGATAAACGAGGACCTGTGTCCTTTGGTATGGAGCCAGGAAGACCAGGGATGCTAGGGCATTGGCATACTGAAGCGGTGGTATCTTTCATCTCTGCTGAGGAAGCCCCTTGTGCCAGTTGTGTGTTGCAAAGTGACTTGTTTGCAGGACTTTATTTTTTAAGAGGCTCCTAGTTTGAAACTCCTAATTACAATTTGCAGAGGTGTAGCTGATGATTTTCCAGCTGTGTTTTGGTCATTAGCAGGTGGTTCACAAGTGCTAAACTTAGTTAAACTTTGCCAAATAAATTAGAAGTTGGCACATGCTGGTCAGTATGACAATATTTTAATGAAGGTGCTTTTCTGAGCAAAGTGGGGATGCTTACTTTTAATCTAAAATTCTACTTGTGAGAGTAATTACTTCTTAAGCAGCATCCCCAGAATGATCAAATGTGACTGGATTCTCTTCACAGACCTGGGTACTTAATTATTTTGTTTTATAGAAAAGATTAGTGGTTTATATGTGTGGACAATAAAAATCTTGTGGCTCCCAAAAATTCTTTAATCACTACTTGTGATGCAGTTAAATGAAAGGACTGGTTCTGCACAACCTGTATCAGTAAGGATTGTTCCTTTCAGTTACACAAGCAGTGAAGGTCACTCAGGTTAAGAAAATACAGTTGATTTGGAGTAAGCTATTTTGATGAGTTTGATGTTGCAGGATCTGACCTTGGATTTATAGGCATACTATAATGGGTATGATTGCTTCATAAGCTGTCTTGCTCCTTCTTTGCACTTGAAAGAAGATATCAGATAGAAAAAAAGAATTATAATGGAGAATATCTGTAAGACTGTCTATAATACTTTTCATCTTTTTAAGGAAAACCTCCATAGAGCTTTAAGAAAAATAATGTACAAAAATCATGGTGAGGTACTTTATAGCAGCTAGTAGTGTCATTGATCCTCTTGAAGAAAAGCCATGCACAAAGCAGGATGCCACTTAGCACATGAAACAGTTGTGTAACTTATGTAGAGGTCTTTTTGGACTTAACGAGAAAATAGGCCTTACTATTGCTTATTGGAGCTTTCTACTCATTTCTACAGCCACCTGGTTCATTATAATTAGGTGAAAATGGCAACATATGTAATTAATTCTTTTAACAGAAGCTGCTACCCATCCTGAGATGGAAGAACCAGTGCAGGATAAATTGACATCTTTGTGCAATACGCCGAAGGATTCTGGGACAGCAGCTCCACAGGGGACTAGTTCAGGGAAACAGGTATGAAAACTTATCTCCAGCAATGTGACTCTTCATAGTAACAAAAATGCTTGTGAAATCATCAAGGAGTGAGAAGTGACTGAGACACTGTTCGTTGGAAGGCTAAAGATAGGTAGCTTACACCTGCGGCTACAGGGCTGTCCAGGTAAGGAATGTGCTCGGTATACTCTGCTCCGAGTATGCAGATATTTGCTGTAGATACAGAGTGATGGAGTAGTGTACGCCAGATGCCATACTAATAAATCTGAAAGCTATTTAGAGTTGCCATGAATGCAGAATGACTTTCTGTGACTTCTGCTTCCTTTTGAACAAAGAACACTGCTTTCAGCTTGTACGTTCTCCGTAATGCCGAGCTCTGCTTCGGCGTGTGTTCATCCTAGCAATGTGCTGTGGGATGCTGTCGTGCTCAGCAGCTGGACCTATGCTGGATAGGGGTAGTTTGCAAGTGTTCCTTAACTAATCCCTCTCGTCCATATTTTAGTATATTTTTCACAGGTAAAAATGTTAGGCACAGATTATATATGAAAAAAATAACTTCTTTTAAAAAAAAAGAATCACTTTTTAGATGTTTATCAGTGAAGGATCTCAAAGCATGAACACATCAAAATTATACAGATAATGTCTAATACTCTGAAGTAGAATACAGATGTTTTATACTAGTAACTATAATAACTAGGGTAAGCAGTTCTTGGAAATTTGATAATTTGATCAAAAGATTACATTATTCTGATCCTTCTGGGTTTTTTTTCCCCCCCCCCCCCCCCAGCCAATGAGTGCAGCTCTGAGGGAGCGATTAAAGAAAACAAGACGGTCGTTTAATGCTAATTTTACAGTGGCAAAGCGGCTCAAAATAGACGCTGAAGAAAAAGACACTGCGGATGCTGACACAGGGGGCCCACCAAAGACAAGTACAGATCGTTCCAGATTACCAGAGGGTTCTGAAAGCCTGGAAAGAAATGGCACTGCACATACATGTTTCGAAAGCCCCTTACAGGAAAGCGATCTCCCTGGATTGGGAGAGAATTCTCGTGTGCTACAGGCTGATCTTAGTCAGCAGTGGGCCCTGGAAGAAAAAGTAAGGCTGGTGAAACAAGTGCAAGAGAAGGAAGAACTGCTTCGAAGGCTCAAACTGGTTAAGATGTACAGATCTAAGGTGAGGCAAACCTCAGAAAAAGCACATTTAAGTGATTCTTTGAAGGGGAATTCATAGCGTAATCCTCACTTATTGATTTAAGGAACAATACTGACTCACTGTTTTTGTGTAGTGCTTGCATATTGTCCCAGTTTAAGGTGTTTTATAAAAATAGATCTACAGGGTGTCAAAAAAACCTCACCAAAACATATTTCAGCAGTGATGAAACTTCTTGGGTTTCTTGTCCCAATTTCAGAACAACCTGTCGGAACTGCAGGCTCTGATAGCGAAATGGAGAAGTCGTACCCAGCTGATGCTGTACGAACTACAGTCAGCCTTTTCTGCAGATGGCAAGAAAGCGAGTCTCACGCAGCTGATGGATACTTTTGGATTAGAAGACGAGTTATTGCACTACAGCAGAACAGAAGAAGATTTTGTAGATGTGTAATCTACAGGTGCAAAGCTTGCAGTTACACGCAAAAGCAGAAAAGACTGAAGAAATTCTGATCACATAACAAGTGTTGATCAGACAGCGGACTTCATGCTTGGGGGTTTTCTCAGGAGATGCCCGTAAACTTGTGTACTTAGATACAGTCAGCACTGTAAAAAGGCATCACTTAATGGAAAAGATTGAACTCATGCCGTTTGGGAAACCCTGGCTTGCTAACTTGATCAGTGAATAGTTATTTAATAAAAATGAAGTCATACTTCAGCAGGTAGAAGGCAGCCCATTCTTTGATTAGTCTTTGCATGGTTACTTGTCTTGAAGGAATGAACTCAAATTAATTGTCACTTCTCTTGATGTTCAGATGGGGAAGAGTTCAGTTCTTTGTTTGTAGGCACATCCCCGTGTTACAAATGTCTTCCTGCTGCCAGTCAGTTAACGACAGCATTTTGAGAGTTACCTAAATACAGCTAATTTTCATGTTAATATTCGGAAGCTGCCATGAGATGTTCTCAATAGCTTTAATTATTACTGAGGGAAACATGCTGTACTGCACTCATTTTCAGATACTGGTCCAGAGAGTTGCCCTCAGGGAAGCTGTCTCTTTGGCAGTCTGTGACAGCCTGAGATAATACAAGGGAAGGCAAGAAAATTGCAGCCACCATCTGGCTACATGACTACTTCATGTGAGAGCCAAGGTGTTTTCTCTCTTCAAACAAATAACAAAACCAAGGCCTTATCTAATGGGAGTGCTTCAAATACAGCATCATGAAGCTGAATAAAACTTCAGCATTTCATTTGTACTCCAATAAATCTTGTCTCTAAAATGTTTGGGGTTTTTTTAATCTTAACTTGAAATTGCTTATTTTCTCATCATGGCCTATACGTATAGTGTGGTGATTTCTGTCTGCGCATATTCTCCCTAAAATCATTGCTTGTCAAGTGTTACAAGGCTGCGAGAATGGGGCTTGTTCAGCCTGGAGAAGAGAAGGCTCTAGGGAGACCTTATAGCACCTTCCAGTACCTGAAGGGGCAACAAGGAAGCTGGGGGGGACTTTTTACAAGGGTCGGTAGTGACAGGACAAGGGGTAACGGGTACAAATTGAAAGTGGGGAGATTTAGATTAGATATCAGGAAGAAATTCTTCGCGGAGAGGGTGGTGAGGCACTGGCACAGGTTGCCCAGAGAAGCTGTGGAGGCCCCATCCCTGGAAGTGTTCAAGGCCAGGCTGGATGAGGCTTGGAGCAACCTGGTTTAGTGGAAGGTGTCCCTGCCCATGGCAGGGGGGGTGGAACTAGATGATCTTTAAGGTCCCGTCCAACCCAAACCATTCTGTGAGTCTATAACTCTCCCTGCAATTAATATTGTTTCATATGTGGTCACATTTCTTATTGGTTGTACCGTAACTGGTTTGTTTACAGGTGCTGTTTCCCATTTCCTTAATAAGAGTAGTTTCTTATGTATGTCAAGGGAAAGAAGATCAAAGATCACAGAGAGCCTTTTAACAGTGATAGGGCTCATTGGACTTAAATCTGTACCCACAACTTAGGAATACTGAATGTTGCTGTGGGTGGAGAGTCAATGAAAAACAATATTGCTAATCACATTTTGAGTATTAAGACAGTATTATATATTTTAAAAGCCAAATGGAAGTCAAAGCTGCAGACATGAATTCTAGCAGATGCCAATTCATGGATTTCTTGCAGCACTTTGCCTTCACAATTGCATATTGCAGACTAAGGGTGTAAAGCTACACCTGCTCTTCTGTCAGTCTACACTTTCTTGTCCCCTTTGTTTTCTGTAGTGAGCTATGTGGTTTATATAATCACAACAGAAATACACCTCGTGAATGGAAACATAATGGGGCTAAGACTAGGTATAAAAAAAATTACAAAGCAGACAGCATGCATCTTTCAAACTGAAGTTATTTTAAAAGAAATGACAGAAGAAATAGTTTGTGGAAAGAAAAGTTGAGAGAGAAAAGGTAGATGTCCAGGCTCTTTTTCCTAGACAAGACCATGGTATTACACATGTACCTGGACTCTGATTTTTAAAGAATAGGGAACATTCTTGATCTCAGTCTTTCAACTTCTGCCTGAAGAATTTCAAGCTGTTCTTCCTGTTCCTTTACAAGGCCCCGTAGGTGTTTCTGCTTCAGAATCTCTTGGTAACGCTGCTTTGCGACCTTTTCAGAAACATGCTGCGGGTCTGTGTGGAACACAATGTAGGGGTTAGCCCGTGCTTGCAGGGGTTGCACAGTCTATATTTACACTGGACCTGCCCCAGAGTTATTCCAAGATCAGTATAAAATAGGCAGGCATTTTAAAAAAGGCTCACAGTTGGGTCTAGGAGTCTTTATAGTACTGAATAAAGCAAAACATTTCAAAAAGACACTGGGCATGCTTCCTTTAGTTTCTAGCAAGTACCCTCTGTTTTGAAAATCTGTAACTGTTTTACTAGTGGAAAGATCTCCACAGATTTCCTAACAGTGAATGCCCTTCTTGGCTCCACGTTACCTCCTCTGTTCCCCTGAATGGGTGGAAAGAAGTGGGTTGGACAGTTCTTAGGAAGAATGAAAGCATGTTGTCTAATGAAGGTATTTAAGACTATAATATTTTGATTTAAATGGTTTCAGGAATTTAGTCAGTCAACTGTGGTTACAAGAGCAACAGTCACTAGGTATGCTCTTGGGTAAATGATGTTAAACTGTGGTAGAAAGGGCACTGCTCATTGTGCACATATGCTAATAACCAGGCGCTCCTTGCCCCTTGGCTGATGCTGGTGGAGGACAGGACCATCGAGCCTGGGGATACTTTCTGAATGTTTTTGCTTGTGACTTACAGTGCGTTACTGTGACTCACCAGCTGCCTCCAAGACATGTCTCCTCTCTGAAACAGAGACTAGCATTTCTCTCAGCTCCAGGCTGAGCTCGTAGTTTGCTCGCTCTTTCGAACTGATGCACTTCTCCAACTCTTCAATTCTTTTCTGACAGTTCTTCACATTCTTCTTGTGCAGCTGTCCATTTCCCAATTAATAAAGCAAATATACGAAATTATACAAAAGCTGTTCAGACAAGCTTTTTATGGAAACCTATAATCTTAAGCACTGCATTGTACCTCAATAAACCTCCATGTATTTCGACTGGAGTAGTAGCACATTCTGACTTTACTTCCTCTGGTGTTTTTCACACATACTGTATTCCAGTTTGCTCTAACATAAGTAGCAGACGAGAACAAAGAGGTGTGGGTCAGGGAGAGAGATCTATGAAAGATAAAACTTGAAAGGCAAAGAGGGGAAAGGAAGTCCATGGAAATCAGTGAGGTGAGAACACTTGGCTGCCAGGAGCTGCTGAAGAAGGGGTTGTGCTGAAGCTGTCAGGTGGGCTGTCAAGGGACAAGTACTAAAGCAGGAAGAGGAGGCTGATGCCAGCTAGAGCAACCTAGAGAAAATCCAGTGGAATCACTTAAACAAGGATAATCATAATTGGAATGTTGAAATAGATGAGGGAGCCAGCGAATCAGATTGTTGTGTTTGTGTTATTTTGAATACAGGGGGTAGTGATGTTATGAACAGCTGGCACTCCTGGAGAGAAACATTAAGCAGTGAAGATTTGGAAGAATGCTTCATTAGAAATGGAAGAGTGACTTTTATAGGCAATGCTGTGTAAGAAGTGATAAGCAGATCTGTATTCAGATGTTCAAGACACATTTAATTCCAATAATAGCGAGTAGATTTCTCTCCATAGGGTTGATCTATGCAGCAATCAATGCATGATGACTGCTTCCAAGGACTTCAGAGAACTGCTGCTGTAGACAACTCGGTGCAAGTTGAAGAAACTATTGAAAGCCATATGAATAAATATATGGAGATATATATATTCTTCTGTGTGTGCTGTTATGTCTATGCTCCAACAATCCTTCAGTTAGCTGAAGGGTTAACATGCCTACATCAGTTTCAATTATTCCTTAAAAACACCTCTTGCTAATGAAGGAAAGGACTTGCATTTAAACTAAGTATGTGTCTTGCAAATGGGGTGGCTTGCTTAGGATTTACCTTATCCATGATGCCAAGAGTCTGCTCCATCATTGAAATCTGGTGGGCGATGCGGCTGTCGTAGTTCAACACAGTGAGGAACTGAAGAGTTGAAAGCAGAAATAAACCACTTTATTAAGCCAGTTTGGTCTCAACAATTCTACACTTCTGTAAAGACAATCGTACTATGTGAAACTCAAAAAAATAGAATTCTGCATATTGGAAATGCTTACTAGTGATAAATGGACATTGTAAAGATATTCTTGGGTGCTGTGTGAATACTGACTGTACAGCTGTTAAAAAGAATGTTATTGCTTATGTGTTAATGGAAACAAAGACAAAGCAAACTCATTGTGAGGTTGTCAAAAAACCTAAGCTATACTTTTGCTTATAAGGTAGTCTGACCTAATACAGCTGGATGCCAAAGTGCTATACAGTCTGTCTTTAGGCTGGAGAAAGTGATTGTTTTCTCTCAAGTGGCTTCCTAGTAATTCTTACTACTTCTATTGTTCTTATATCGGCACAGTAATTCAGGTTTCAGAGAAGAAATTAAAATATTTTTCCTTGGGCACACTACTCCTAAAATACCTCTTTATCAAATGGCAAATGGTAAAACAGGCTGTGCGACCCATACTGGGCAGTGGACAGGTTTCTATACATGTAGATTAATCCTTGCAGGGTACCGTCGCACCAAAGTAACAGGTAAAATTTTGTGGACTGCCCTAGCTAGAAGAGGAGAAACAGGAAAGACGCAGCAGGCTTCTTGCCTGCAGCACCAAACTGCTTTCACTCACTGCTTCACTAGCAGCCCTCACTCCAGGTCTTCTCAGGTCTACACACCCACGCATTTGTCTACACCATCTTTCTGTTCCTACTACTGGCATCTCTGTTGCCTTGTCTTTCCTACTAACCCCACATTTCTACTCAAGATGTGAAGTAAAGTCAAGCCCCTCAAAGCACTCGCATTCTGA